ATATATATATATATATATATATATATATATATATATATATATATATATATAATATATAATATATATATATATATGCAAGGAATTCGCAAGAGCAGGCCAAATATACACAAACACTGATCTCTGGCCGAAGGAGACTCGAACCTACGAACCTTGGAACAAGGTACGCAGTGCCTTACCATTCTCACCACACTGGACCAATACCTAGGCGTCCAGCTTGCGCTAGACGTTTGATCCAAGGCAGCCAGCAAAAACAACAAGTGTGAAAAAATAGTAAAATTCCAAGCGCTTTTGTGAATTTTCACATTTACAAGGTCCGGTCCATGATAATGTGAGAAATCACGAGAGCGCTTGCAGTTTCACTATTTTTTCACAGTGGCTGTTTTTCTATTTTGTGATATCACCTGTTTACTGTGATCTTATTGTATATATAGATATATATATGATGGAGATAGGTAGCACCAAACACACGGCCCGGTACATCAGGCTGGAGCTGCCTCAGATGGTTGCTTGTGATGATGGACTGTGGCCGGTAAGGCTGCGATTTATTGTCTATAACTTGGACTTAAGAGCACTGGCCAGGACAGAGTTTATTAAGTCTCAGTGTGTGTGAGAGAGAGGGAGGAAGGAAAGGAAGAACGTAGGAAGGAGAGGGAGGTACTGTGCTCGTGAGGGAGGAAGAGAAAGAGTACTTGAGAACCTGAAATCTTGCAGCATTTAATAGAACATAAATCCCAGGTTCTTTCACGTGCTCTCACTCACATTCTTAAGGAAGAGTAAACACAATGAAGCAAGGAGAGAGATAAACCATACATAGGGATCTAACATGCCAAAGTCAGAGACAGAGTTTGGGGGGAATAGGCTGTAACCATAACTTTTAAACGGTGGACCGGTAAACCAGCGGAAGGCCTCGGTCAGATGATCAAAAGCTCCAGCGGCGGGTCATTATATGACTAAGACTCGCGTCACGAAACACTTGTTTCCTGACAAACCTTACTGGTAAATGTTTCTGCACTGGCCATTCCCCGCCTAAGCCCTCTAACACTGAGATCAGTGGTCACTATCACTTAGCCAGCCATCCCTCTCACCGTCGACAACCTCACACTCCTGACCGCAACACCGCATTCTGTTTATTTTAGCCAGGATGAAGTATGGAAGCGCTAAGCTCACTGAAGTCATGAAGATCATCGCGACAGAGTCGCTCTCATCATTCAGTCCTGCAGTAAGACCTAAGTGAACAGTTCCATTACACCCGTACAGCTGTGCACGCTAATTTTATTCTTTATTCGTGAGTTGATAAGTTGTGTTAGCATACTGGTTGATGAATGGCACGCGTGTGCAACACTCTGGTACTTTTATTGTCAGTGTTGCATACTATTTTTATAGTGATAAATAAGTTAGTTATTACAACACTTGCGTTAGTGTTGCGGACTTCAGTTTCATTTCTATCTTAATGACGTTGTTGTAAACATAACAAGTTTAGTTTTATGCAAACCATATATATATGTATATATATATATATATATATATATATATATATATATATATATATATATATATATATATATATATATATATATATATATATATATATACATATATAATGTTAGTTTATCTCTCTTCCTTACTCTATTCCCCCTCTCTTTCTCGCTCACTGTTTATTCATCTGTCTTTTGCACACCTCCCCTCGATATATATCATAAAATATCTTAAATGTTAGCCTCTAAAGGTGACAAGCGAGAGGAGGAAGAAGGAAGAATGAAGAGGAGAGAAGGAACATGGAATGAGAGAAGGAATGAAGGAAGAACATGAGGAGGGAAGGAAGTGGGTAACACAAGGAGGTGGCGGAGTATACGTGATGCGAAAGAGAGAAAGGGGGGGGGGAGAGAGAGCAAAAAGAGTGAGAGCTGACCACAGAAAAGTGAACCTCCCTCTGGTTCAAGACACAGCCTCCGGAGCATCTTTAACACGAGGTTCAAAAAAATAGTCTTGCCAACTCTCACATCACTGCACAGTTTATTTTCTTTACAATTACCATAAAAAACTGGACGTCCCTCTTTTGTCATTCCCTTTTTATCATCCCGTTTTTAGCGTCGCCTTTTTTGTCATCCCTTTTTATCATCCCATTTATATCATCCCTTTTTTTATCATTTATTCCTTAAATTGGGGAATAAACCAAATTATCATTGTATACACACCTCTCAGTGTGTATATATATCCTCTCAGTGTTAACATATCCTCTCAGTGAGTATATATACCCTCTCAGTGTGTATAATATCCTCTCAGTGTATTATATACATATCTATTTCATATATATATATATATATATATATATATATATATATAATAATTATATATAAATATATATACATATATATATATATATATATATATATATATATATATATATATATCCTATCAGTGTGTATATATAATCCTCTCAGTGTATATATATCCTCTCATGTGTATATATCCTCTCAGTGTGTATATATTATTTCAGTGT